ATCCTCCTGCCTAAGCCTTCCCAGTAGCTGAAACTACAGATGTGCACCATCATGCCTAAGTTCTTATTTTTAAAAATCAACTGAAAATCACTTAAACAAAATGTAGATCAATATAGTACTATTTACAACTCTGTGGAATTACAGGTTTAGGTCCGGAAAAATATGCTATTGTAAGCAAAGTAGCCATAGTAAAGTGTTTGGACTCATTTAGAATATTTTGAGCACCCCAAACAATTATATTTCGTGTGTCATTATTAAAATTATCTGTAATTGAACCTCTTGCAAAAAAAGATTTATGACTGACTAGAAAGAGCTACACAATATGGCAAGAATAAATGTGGCAAAGACAAAATGAAGGTGGAAATCTAAAAGTACTGTGGGTGTGTAAAATGCACACTATGAAGTCCTATATACTTCCTAGACATGGGCTGTAAATTTAACCCCAAGCTTTCCAGAATCCAGTTTGAAGAGAACATACGGTTAAAATATTTAACATTTTAGTTCCTATTAGAGCTAAGAAAAAAAAAAAATGGGAAAACAAGATTTGATGAATCAGTGTGTCAGAAGCATGAGAGGGTACTGTCCCCAGGTATACACTGTTTCATTCCTTCCTGATCCTTTTTTAAAATAATGGTTTATATTTTTATTATCATTTTAAAACTTTTTTTTGAGACAGGGTCTCAAGCTGTGACCTGGGGAGAGTACCATGGCATCATAGCTCACAGCAACCTCAAACTCTTGGGCTTAAGTGATTCTCTTGCTTCAGCCTCTCAAGTAGCTGGAACTACAGGCACTTGCCACAATGCTCGGATTTTTTTGGTTATAGTTGTCGTTGTTTGGCAGGCCTGGGCTGAATTCGAACCCACTAGCTCTGGTACATGTGGCTGGTGCCCTTGCTGCTGAGCTACAGGTGCTGAGCCATCATTTCAAAATTTTTATTACAAAACTTATTTTTAGAGATGGGGTCTCACTATGTTACCCAGGCTGGTCTCAAACTTCTGGCCTCAAGTGATCCACCTGCCTTGGCCTCCCAAAGTGCTGGGATTACCGGTGTGAGAAACTGAGCCCACCCATATCATATATTCTTGCAGTGAAAGAATCCTACCCCATATAGCAGGGGTAATCATCGCCAAGCTAGGCTTTTATTTCTAGGACTCTCTTGCAGCAAGATCAGGCTATGTTCCAATTTTTTTTTAACCAGTGAACAAGAATGAGAGTGACGCAGGCAACAACTCTGTCACGTCATTAAAAGAAAGTTACCAAAATGTTAACAACTGGTGAAGCGAGATAAAGGGCACATAGGTGTTCACTGCATTATTTTTTCAAATATACAAGAGGTTTTAAATTTTCAAAATAAAAAGGTGGGGTTAAAAAAAGGAAACTGCTTATCAATTTATAGTACATATATGCTGTAAATAAATCTTGGTTATAATGATGCTCGGGTATAATAATAATTAGTTCCCCAATTATAAGAAATGTTTGCAGACTCAAGAAAGATGTTAACAATCAAGAAATCTATGCAGAGAGGGAGAAAGGGAAAGTGTTAGTATCTGCTCAATTTTTCTGTAAACCTAAAACTAAAACCTACTATTAAATAAAAAGGAAATAGGCGGTATCCGTAGTTCAGTGGGTAAGGCACCAGCTACCTACACCAAGGCTGGTGGGTTCGAACCTGGCCCAGGACAGCTAAAACAACAATGACAACTGCAACAACAACAACAACAATAGCTGAGTGTTGTGGCAGGTGCCTGTAGTCCAAACTACTTGGGAGGCTGAGGCAAGAGAATCGCTTAAGCCCAAGA